AGGTAAAGGCAAGTGTTTAAAACATCTAAATGTCCAAATATCCAAAATGTCTACAAAATATTTAAAATGTCTATATATCTAAAATGCCTATATGTCCCAACCTTCTAACACAACAGAAGCTCAGCAGCTGCCAGCTACTGACTGCATCATCACCTAGTATTTCTGTGTGTGAACTTCAAGCTCCTAAGATTCCCCAGCCAGCATGAATCATGGCTGGATGGGGAATTCTGGGAGTTGAGGTCCACCCTTCTTAAAGTTGCCAAGTTTGAGAAACGCTGACCTAGATTGTGAATGAAGTAGATTGTTCATGCCAAGCCTTGTATTGAGAGAAGTGTTTAAAACTGGAATGGCAAAGGATGAATGTAAGCTGCCTCCCCAGTGGGCTGGGGATTGTCTAAAGACAGTCAGTACAGCATCTTCATGCCACAGTTAGCAGGGCATCGGGATGAGTCCCTAATAAGATCAGGAGGGTTAAAGCAATCCTATCAATGTTTGCAATTAGCTTTACAGGTGTCTGTGGAAAGCTCACAGAACATGATGGCCTCTGCCTTTCACTTTTATTTACCCATCCAGTAATGGTATTTGGAGGCACATTCCTTCTGAACTGGGAGGTTCTCTTTAGCTGAAGTGAGTGATATGCCAAGTAGCTTCTATCCATAAATTCATTAAACCCTCTTTAAAGCTATCCACCTATGTTCAATTCCCTGGAAGCAAGATCCCCTGAACTCAATGGATTAATTTCTGAGTAGATATACACAGGTCTGTACTTGAAGCCATCTAAAGCACTGGCTGTCAGGATCTTTTCATCTCTTCCAACGGACCTGAGAAAAGCCAGTCTAGTAACCAGCAGGTAAGTTTCAGTACGCATCAGCTTCATTCTTTAGCGGTCTTTCGCGCATTCTTAGAGTAACGACACACCTCTTTACATAATTCCGAACCTCTGCCTCCAATCAATGATAAGCTCAGAATGACAAAGCGCTCTTCGAACGCCCGTAACTAACGCGAGTGGGTGAGTTTCCCCAGTTCCCGCCTTCTTCGTCGTCAGACTACGGTCACGCCATGCCCTCGTTTCCTCATTTGCTCCAGACCATTCTCCCGACGTGGGGCCGGAGGCGGCCGTCATGCTGAGCCAGCGAGGAGTTGGTGAGGAGCGACGTCGTGCTTCGGAGGGCGAGGCTTCGAGCTCGCTGGGGCCGCCCAGAAGGAAGCCTCGTGGATTCTTGGAGGCGGAGCTTACCGTTATTTGTATAGACAGTGCCAGTGCCTCCTCTCTGCTTTCGTCCTTCCTTGTCGCTCAGTCCTTAACAGCCATGCAAAAGGTAGCTGTAGTCACCGGCGCCACCAGGTGAGAGTGGATCGCTAAGATAAAGCCGGGGGAAGGGGGAATTTAATCTGTTTATGCAATTAATTTGAAAGGATGTGACGGTCGTAATACCTGTATCCCGTAGAACACGATCCGGCGGGAATAGCATTCTTAGCTCCAGTGGGATGATGAACCACGCGGTTAAAATCTTAGCGTAGGATCAGTGGGACTTAAAAATATTTTACTCGGTTGTATTGTGCCCAGGCTACTTTTTTACATTCTTTTAATATTTTAGTATTTATGGAATGGCTTTTTAGAACAAGCTGCCTTGGGCTCACCATCCTAAGACGCCTCGTAGAAAGCTCGGTAAAATGAAAAGGGTCTGTAGGATAAGGATAAATGCGGTGGAACAGAACTGAAATGTAGATGTTAGTATAATAAATTAAAGGATGCCTTGCTATTTTTATTTAAGACTCGACTTTCGTTCTTGTCAGCTTGCCTAAAGTCTTTGCATCCCTTAACCAAAAGTAGGATAAAAACAGAACTGCTTGGCTTTTTACTGACTGACTGCTAGAACACTATACAGTATTCATGTGCCTTACCTTTCCGCAAGTGAAAGGGTTAGAGCATGCTGGCTGGGGAATCCTGGGAGTTGAAGTCCACCCATCTTAAAGTTGCTGAGGTTGAGAAACCCTGGGTTAAAGGCTTTATAAATTAACTGGATCTTAAAGGAAGGGATCAGCTGCAGTTTTGTGACGAAACGAGGTGTTTGGGTGTTTTATTACATGATAAAGTTTTATTTATTTGAGTGAAAAGAGGAAGAAACTTCTGTTAATATTGTAACTTGGAGTCACCAAATTAAGTGGACTGGCAAGACCAATAAAATGAAATAGAGCCAGTTTAGTCTAGAGGTTAAGGCACCAGGCTAGAAAGCAGGAGACTGGGAGTTCTAGTCCCACCTTAGGCATGTAAGCCGGCTGGGTGACTTTGGGCCAGTCCCTCTCTCTCAGCCCAACTCA